CCCCTAGGAAGAGTGAGTGGCTCTTCGCTTGAACAAATTTGAACCCCATTTACCCAAGGATACTTTGTGCCAAGTTTGGTTGACATTGGCCTTGTGATTCTGGAGAAGAATATGAAAATGTGAAAAGTTTATAACAAAGACAGACACCGGACAAATTTCGATCAGAAAAGCTCACTGGAGGCTTCGTCTCAGGTGAGCTAAAAATAAAATTTCCTCTTAAAAATACATTCTGTATAAATTTATTATTTTTATAGATTTGAGTTCAATAAGAGATGTCTATGAACGGCAGTGTAGTTATAGTGGGGGCCGGAATGGCTGGACTGTCGGCAGCAGAGCACCTCACTAAGTGCGGCTTCAGGGACGTAGTGATTCTGGAAGGGGGTGATCGGTACCGTTCAAGTTTATTCACCTTTGATTTAAAAATGTGCTTTTTGGTTTTTAGTTATGTTTTACTTCACTCAAGTCAAAGGTTTGTCGGGCGTCTTTTTGTTATTTGCCGTGTGAAAAAAAAAATCTAAATCAAAAACTTTCCTTCAGAATTAGCAAAAGCTGCAAGTCCAAATTAATAACGCGAAAAATACATGTAATTTCTCAAAAAATTATTTAATGAGCCCAATTGTGTTTTTTAAACAAAAATTAATTGAAATTGTGTAGACAACAAATTGATTGAAATTGTCAGGAAAGTGGTGTCATGTATTCAAATTTGCGTAGAGATGATAGGACATTGAAGTTTCACAAGAAATGAGAGCAAAAATTGAGCGAAAATTGAGAATGTGTAGAAAAAGAACTCTCCGTATCACTGTGATTTCGGGTTACCTTTGAGGCCAGTAGGCATCTTGTGTTTTCGAAAGTCGTTTATTCATAGGCTAGATGTTAAAATAAATGATCAATTGCTTAAGCCTCTTGGTTGGAGAGGAGTAACATTTTTACTTTAAATTATTTTTTCCTCCATAGAGCCATCCAAGCAGCTGTACAGTTTGTTATCAATCTCTTTACTGGCAAAAAAAAAAAAAAAAAAAAAAAAAAAAAAAAAAAGGGGGGGTTATTTAGTAGTTATACTTCGTGTCGAGTTAGTTGTGTAATATTTCTAATTTGAGGCTTGCATCACATACACAATTTTGCAGAATTGGTGGAAGGATAAATACTCATGGATTCGGAGAATACCGCGGTAATCCCGCTCTTATTGAACTTGGTGCCAACTGGATCCATGGTTCCCATGGAAATGCTGTGTTTAGTTTGGCCACAGAGCACGATCTACTCAATCCTTATGTTTTATTAGATAGGTAAATTCCCCATGCTTCTTTAAAAATGTCTTGATTGCTGGATGCAAATTTCAAATGTGGTAATGTGTCAAAAATGTTGTAAAATATAGTCGAAGTGTTATTGCAAAGTAAAATAAATGTCTTATTATAAATGTTGTTTTAATAACAGAATCACCTTATATATGTACCAATTAATGATCTATTTTACATACTGTTTTCAATGTTAAATGTACCAATAATTGTTATATGTACCTTGACCTATGGAGAGAACGATTATAGGCATTATGCCTGCTGTTCAATCCATTTCATTTGTAATGAATAAAATATATTTTAAACTAGAATGGAGGGATATGCGTATACCGAAGACGGAAGAAAAATTAGCAAGTCTTTGACCGAAAGAGTTTGGCAGATTTTTCAAGAGGTGGAGATGGGATTGCAGGACATCAAACCCCAAGACATTGATGCTAACTCTAATATCGCTAGTTACATGACTAATGAGTTAGAAAAGAGGCTGGTGGAGTTCCCAGAAAACCAGCATGCAGATATAAGAGCACTCTTTAATTGTATGTTGAATTACCTTTCCTTTCATTCAGCCGAGGATCTGGAAAATCTGCCACTAAAATACGCTGCCTGCTTCAAAGAGTTAGATGGTGGCAACATCAAGTTGCCTAAAGGGTTTAAAAGTGCCCTTGATGTAATCGTCAAAAAATTGGCAAAAAATTGTATTCAATACAACACAGAAGTGGAGTATATTTATTACGGGAGCACTCAATCTAGGACTGTCGCCATAACATGCAAGACACCAACTGGAAAGAGAATGTTTGAAGCTAACCATGTGATTGTCACGTGCTCTCTGGGAGTCCTGAAGTCTTGTCATTCCAGAATGTTTGCACCACCTCTACCACCAAGTAAAATTAGATCTATAAATGCAATGGGATTTGGAACTGTCAATAAGATATTTCTGCAGTGGAAAACACCTTTTTGGAAACAAGGTGAAGGAGGTTTAAAATTTGCCTGGAAATCAAGAAATATAGGGAACAAGAAAACTCATTGGTATAAAAGTCTTTTTGGATTTGATGAAATTCTGAACAATGACAACACATTAATAGGATGGATTCATGGGGAAGCGGCAGAGCATTTAGAAAGTATGTCTGACGAGGAAGTCAAAACTCAGTGCACGGCTCTGATCCGGCAGTTTTTAGGTGATCCAAACATTCCTACGCCCACTACAATAATTAGATCCGCCTGGAAGACCAATGGACTTACTCAGGGTTCCTACAGTTACGTTTCCTATTCGTCGTCCCCAGCAGACATTGAATGTCTGGCAGAACCGGTGTATATGAGCGGGGTACCTGTTGTTTTGTTTGCCGGAGAGGCTACACATCCACACTTCTTCTCCACAACACACGGGGCAAGGGAGTCTGGAATACGAGAAGCAGAGTCTCTTAAAAACTATTATCAAAAGAAGGCTTTAGGTAATAAGCTTTAATCATAAACTTGATCTTTTTATATATTGTTTCTTTGTGATTTATACGGACAAATCTGATACGAATAACTGTGAAATAATCTTTAAACTGTTTCTGTTGATGACTTGATACTAGATTTTTTTTAAATGAATGCTCCTCTATTTATTAAAGATTATTGGAGTATATTTCTAAATAAAATGCACATATATATTTATAATAGTATATTTTTAATAATGGATGCACATATAAGATTATAAATATGTATCTATTAGAGCATTATTAAATGAATCACATATATATTTGTATGTTTGTCAAAATAAGACCACAATATTAATTGTATTGCGTAAATTAGGGGTTTACGTACAATATATCCATCGTAAAGGAATTGTGCTATAGGAAGTGTGGATCTTTCGATGATGCCTGTCATGCATGCAGTAATTAAATAGAATTCTGTGTCTTTACAAAGTGGTATAGTTTTATTCTGGAGAGAGTATCCATAGATGCACTGTTGACCAATCTATTATTTATATAAATTAAATGCTCTTTATTACATTTTCAACAGAGAAGTACTGTAATTTATCCATTGGATAAATTTGATATTTTCTCAGACGTGTTTTTAAGGACATACGCGAAGTACATGTACCTGTACCCCACAAGGTACCTTTCCCACTGATATCCAAGATATTCTTAATTTGAAATAAATGTATCATCAAATGTTCTTAGACATAAAATCAGCATACATTACCCGGAGTTTTAACAGATATCAAATGATGAAAATCCTTGTGTTTTTTTTAAAGAAAATTACCAAGAATTATAGTTTTAGCTTGTATTTCCTATAAATTTGATTCAGAAGAGATGCACGGCATTATCTGGCACATGTTCCAATTAGATATAAACATATCACACCTCGTCCATTGTAACACCTGACTGTAAAATCTGTTACAGTCTCTTGTCAATTTTATAATTATCTCCGCTCGGGGTGTTTCTCATGTCTGCACTTCCAGAGAATTTACAGCATTGCCCTACTCTTAGCTTTAATAGTACTTCTTCACACTTCTACTGTTCTCTCCGCTGTGGCGGATCCAGAAAGGGGTGGGGGTTCCGGGGGTTGGAACCCACTTTATTTTTGCAGAGAGAGAAAGAGAGAGAGGGAAGATTCCGGTGAATTTCAGCTATAGCTAATATATATGCCATTTTTAAACCATCTTCTGAAGTAACTAACTTTAAGAAGGATGCATAAAAAGTCATGAAAGGGAGTATGCAGAGGAGAATATTTCTCTCCTTATATCATGGGGATATTTTAATCAATAAATGTTTAAAGAATATGCGGGGGGAAGGGGGTCGCTTTTTCTGAGAATAATATCTTATGCTATTGTTTTAATACGTAAGTTTTAATTTAGACTGTTCCCCCTCCCCCACACTTTTTGTTGCCGGAAGGTCAAAATACGCAAATGCAAGCATTCGAAAGAAAAATGTTCCGAAAGGTTAGATCCCCCCTTGAAATAGAATTTTAAGTGTGGTGCACGTGTTTTTTGTTTTTTGTTTTTGCTTTTGTTTTGTTTTGTTTTTTGTTTTTGGCATGTCAACTCCATTTGGGGGTAGCCTCCTTTGAAAACCGTTGCAAGGGGTTTGAAGTACCTGTGATGTGATTCTATGCCTGAGTGTTGGGGGCACCGACCTGGAACCCCCCCTCCTTTCAAAAATTGCTGGATCCGCCCCTGCTCCGGTTATCTCAGTTTGCACTGAACGCAAACGATTTGATTGTTTAGCAAAGGGGAAAGGGATTTGATATTTTTGATTTATTTCTTTAAAATAATAATAATGCATTGTTGTAATAAAAAAATAAGAAATAATAATTAAAAAAAAAAAAATAAAAATCGGCAAGTAGAGGTCTTGCTAATCTGGTGAATTATTTTATATTTATTGCAGTTATTGTAGTTAAGGGTAAGATTGATCGAGTTTTCACCCCCCCCTCCAGAAAACCATTGTCAACCGAGGCGATTTGATTATACTACATGTATACCGGTGTTAGCTCAGATTGCAGTATTGCTCAACGAATTTCAAAGGGTCAGGGGAGCAGCCTCCATAGAATTTGACCCCCCCCCCCCTGAAAATTTTCTTGTAACCCCCCCCTTTAAAATTTTCCTGTAAAACTACATCAGAAGACTAATTAAAAAATGTGTCTCCCCGCCCCCGTACTAGGGGCCTGCACTGGATTGTGCCAAAATGGTCCTCATATTTGATTCGGGATCGCAATCTGTGAAAACTTGTAAACGGAAGTGACGTCCTTGGATGCCAAAATTGTTTAAAAATGGCAGGTCCTCAGAGTAGAGTTGCAGGTGGTGGGTTTTGGAGCCAACCACAAGCACAATACAGTGCTGGTACTCACAAATTACTGAAAGGTAAGAAATTCTTTATTTAAACATTAATATGTAAGACGGTGCGACCGTTGGTGAGGGCGGAGCCATCAAGTGAACATTTCTACATTTTATTGTTTAATGATAAATCAGTGTTAAAATCAAGTTGTAAGTCATAACAAAGACCTCAGTCCTTTTAAAAAAACTCTAATTAAGTTCTCTTACCTCAAATTTTTTTTATTTCAAATAAAGAAATTTAAGAGTATTTGGTTTTATAAAGCTGGAAAACTTTTACTAAGATATTTCATCATGAATTGCTTGGCCAGAGCACTCAAAATCAAAAAGCATAACGGGGAAAGAGTGTGCACTGGACCAGTGTCGACAGTCAGGAATTCAACCTACCCAGGCCCAAGAACTCTTAAACGTTAACTTTTTCATCTATATGTATCTGTCCAACAATTATACGTGAGCTTGCATGAGCATCATTTCTTTATCTTTCACGACTTAATTTAAAAAACCCCATCCAGAAACATCAAGTCATTTAATTCTCATCTTTTACTTCCAATGCATGGTTATGACATCAAATACAAATAAGGACAATTGTCAGGGACTACATCGGAAGTTGAACTTGGGACCCAAACTACAGAAAGATGATCTGACTCCTGGGTTATCAGGACACTTGGAAACTGACCATCTGACCAAGACTAGGGCTGTGTATCGTGAGGGCTAAAAGTATTAGCATTGCAAAATTTCTGAGAATTATTTTCTTAATTTTAATGGAAAAAATGTAGAGTAAATTTAACGTTTCTGCATTTTTAAAAAAACTAATCTGATTCGAATAGTCTTTAGTGCTTTCTAAAACTTACATAAAAGCAAGATAATTTTTTTTTTCTTTTTAATATCTGGACTGAAAAACGAATTTAACTCAATGAAAGTTTTTTTCCAGATATTAAATTGTTTAAGCGAAAAGTATTAGAATTTTTAAACCAAAACTTGTGAATAATAGGATACATTTCTGGGAAGAATCGAATAGAATATTTGTCAATGTATCGAACCCCCCCCCCCCCCTGCATCAGTAATTGATGTTTTGTGACATCCCTATCGACAACATAATAAAATGGATCATATATGGAAGCTTTAAAAAAAAGATATTTTAGCACTACTCAACAACTTTGAACTCTTTACATGGATTAGCATGGGTAATGTCAAATGAAGATTCATTTTTTTTTTAAGCCAAGAGAACATGAAACTTTATTCATATACATGTCATGTATTTTGCTGACCCTCCTGTATTGTTTAACTTACTTTTTTTCAATTTTCCGCTGTCCAAAGTTTATTACTCGCAATTTAACGTAAATCACAAGCAGTTGTCGCATATTAGACCATTTATTGGAGACAGTGGAGGGGATTTAATGATACATTGAATCTTTAATAATGAAAAACGTAAAATTTGTAACAAGAGATAGACCCCTTTTACCTTATTGCAAAACCATTGAAGCAATGGCTTATTTGACAATGGAAGACTGAATAGTTTTTCTCATGATTTTGTACTTTATACACTATCATAGGTTCCAACTGGCTGAATACATTTTCTGTTCTATATTTTTAAAAGTACTTTTTAAAATAAAAATTAGAAATCATTTTATTTTATCCGTTGAAACGTATCCACATGTATAAATGGAACATGTGTTTGATGTGGTAGTTTGAGCTTCAGACATGTCCAAAGATTTTTCTTTTGATGGTGAGCTTCACAAAACTGAAATTTAACACTTAAAAAAATGATAAATCTTTTGAAAAAAAAAATTCACAACAAAAATGAGACACAGGCCTCCACCTGCAAATGTATATAGGAACAAGCAAGTAATCAAAGACAAGAATGAATGAATGAATAGATAAATAATAAATAAATAAAAAAAAAATTAAGAAAAAATTAAGAAAAAAATTTTAAAAATTAAAATGCATACCCCTTCCCCCCTTCTTGAGTTCATACCAGAATTCAGTAAAGCTTTTCATGCTTTTTACCACTAAAACATTTTTTTTAAATGTATTATTCAATAGAAAAATACGAAAGCCTATTAGGATCAAACTACGGTAAAAAAAATTTTAAAAGGCGTTATAACGCGGAAAAAGGCGTTATAACGCAAATAAAGGCGTAATTTCGCCTTTCCAAAAGGCGTTATGACGCGAAAAAAGGCATTATTACGCCTTTCCAAAAGGCGTTATTACGCCTTTCCAAAAGGCGTTATTACGCGTTATTACGCCTTTTTAAAAGGCATTAATACGCCTTTCAAAAAGGCGTTTTTATGCCTTTTGAAGGGCCATTATTATGTCTTTGACAGGCCCGTGCTTTTAAAGTTGGGGGGGATGTCCCATAAAATTGAAAAGCAAACAAAAAAACAAGACCCCCCCCCGAAAAAAAATAAACTGCCTAAACTTGAGGGGAAACTTTTTCTAATTTTTCGGTAAAACTTTTTTTTAAATGCAATGACTTGCCCGAGTTTAACCATACTGCAACAAAATGTTAAGGGATCAAGCAATCAATTAATGATTTTTTATATTTAAACTATAGCAAGACTATTCTCCCAAAAAGTGGGGTGGGGGACCCCCCCCCCCCCCTCACATTCGTACTACCGGCCTGTTTGAAAAGGAGTTGTATCCAAAAATGGAAAGGCGTTATTTTAATATAGTAAATATATGAAAGATTGAACCAAGGCCATCTTTATTTATGCAATATTTAGATTATAGTTTTAATATTATAAATTATATTATAAATTATAGTATTTTCTATATTCCTGCACATCTCGCAGACAGTTGTTTGCATTTTGCATGCATATTAAGAGAAGTCAACACTCTACTTTTGAAAATCCAGGATATAGGCAGAACCAGATTTGGGCTTCGCTAGCCACGTATTAAAAATTCATGTCAAATTTGAAATATTTTTCTCTCCTCTAGGTAAAAAACAGGCAAAGTATTTGCATAGGTATAATGAGCAATTAGCCTTCAACAAAATTTCTGAAATCCATACACCTTGGTAGAAGCGTCTGGCATCAGAGAAGGACTAAGTTGGTTTAACACTGAAAATATTTTACACATTTAAAAATCTTTTTTTCCTAGAAATCTAATTATAATCAGTCCCCAGGGTGGGCTAAGTAAGTCATGTATTGAAAAAAAAGAGGCGTAATAACGCCTTTTTAAAAGGCGTAATAACGCCATTTTAAAAGGCGTAATAACGCCTTTTGGAAAGGCCTAATAACGCCGTTTAGAAAGGCGTAATAACGCCTTTTGGAAAGGCGTAATAACGCCTTTTGGAAAGGCGTAATAACGCCTTTTGGAAAGGCGTTATAACGCCCTTTTAAAAGGCGTAATAACGCCTTTTGAAAAGGCGTAATAACGCCTTTTGGAAAGGCGTAATAACGCCTTTATTTGCGTTATTACGCCTTTTTCCGCGTTATAACGCCTTTTTAAAAGGCGTTATTACGCCTTTCTTCGCGTTATAACGCCTTTTGAAAAGGCGTTATAACGCCTTTTAAATTCTTTTTTACCGTAGTTTGATCCTAATAGGCTTTCGTAGAAAAATTATAGTATGTCACAAAAAATCTTATATTTCTAGTATGTGTATTGAAAATAATCCTGAAGACATTCGTAATTAATAAATTTTATTAACAAATAAATTAGAGTTGTTTCTTTTCCGTAAAGTCTGGAGAAACGGTCACAGAAAGATCCGCCCCTCCATAGTGCGTAGTACGCAGTCTAGACATTGACGTCACTGGAATTCGTTAAACTAAGTTGTTTTTTTGTTTCACCAAAATATAGTTAAGTTTATTAAAAGGTGAATAAATCTGTTTTTAAAAAGAGAGTACGCATATGAAATATCAATTATTACAGGTTGTTAAAAATGCAACAGTTTCCGCTGATTCATCAATGAATGACGTCACATGTCAGGTCTATGACGATCGAGAGCAAGTTATAGTTGAAAACGAAAGTAACAAGGATGTGTACCATAAGGGTGTTTTTGATTATTAGAATTGATAAAACTTCATTAACGCAGGATTGGAATTAAAATTTCGATTCTCCAGCATCTCGTTAATGCGGGAATTTGTCGCGAGATTCAAGATGGAAAAGACTATGGACGCCATATTGGCGACAAGGTTCTCAATTCCATAGGTATTGTAATAAAATTATAGTTTACAATAGAATTCAATATATTTTACATACATACGTGTTACCTATAGGGAGAGCTTCGCTCTCTATTATTTAAACATTATCAGTGAAAATTAAAACTTGATATCCTTCACGGAACGGAACATCAAAATATCCAAATGTGCAAGTTTCTGGAACTGGGGGAAAAGACAACCTTAAAAGTTTTGAAATTAGATAACACCATATGTGCATATTCAGAGTACAAATGAGATAAAATAAAGTATTCTGATGTACATGGCATATAGAGTCCATACATCAATATAATACAATGACAGGTCCAGCACAATCTCTTCCATACATCAATATAATAAAATGAAAGGTCCAGCACAATCTCTTTGACTTGATTTAGATATACGATATAGCTTGAAATAGCTACATTGTATATACCGGTAGTTTTATTTAGCTATTCAAAATAACTTGATGAAGCTTTTCATGTGCAGTTTTTCAAAAAAATGAAATGTTTTTTTTTTGTAAGAAATTGACTAAAAGTCGCAAGTATTTGACTATTCATATATGTACTTTGGGCTATCAAAAAAGCAACCCAAATCAAAGGTAGTTTTAACATTGCAACTGTGTGGTCACAAATCAATTGCTCTATATAGCCCCAAAACTTTTAGTCATTTAGTCCAAAGTCTCTCAAGAATACACAATTTGATGAGCGATTTTTACATGCATTGTTTTCAGAAGAGTTCAAGGTTGAATACTATCACTGCACCCAGATGCAACTTTTTGTACATGCAAAAAATAACACATTTAAGAAAAAAGTGTGATAAAATAGCTAAATCAAGCTATTCTGAATAGCTTAATAAAGATCGATATATAGGTAAATCAAGCTATATATAGCTAAATCAAGAGATTGTGTCGGACCTGAATGAAGCATATGAAAACTTGGGGAGTGCGCCTAATTGTTTGTTTTGAATGGAGTGACGTACTTGACATTTCTGATTTATGTCTTACTGAAAGCTGAGTCTCGTACAAAAAGGACGTGATGTAACAAATAGCTAATTAAAAAACCAAATGTTCAGATAATAAAACACTACAGTACATAATTATACATGTATTTTCATAACTAACTAAACACCTTGCTGCATAAAATGTCTAAGATTATTTTGCTCAGCACACAGACACACACACCCTCACACACATATACACACAAAGTTTAAACTTTTTAAAAATTTGGTGTGGTAAAGAGAGAATATATACCTTACATGCATATTCATTTCTTATCTTAACTTTTTTTATATTTGTAAGAAAAGCATAGACACACTATCTTTGCAAGTAATTACAGTATGGCTACAATTTTGTCAATTAAACTAAAACTTTGATCTACAGAATGATATCCATGCTCCTGATGTTTGATCAAGTATCATCCTGAGTAAATATCAGGGATGTGCAAAGATAGAATTTTAATCAGGTTAAAAAAATAAAGGGGTTGTTAGGGCTTCAAGAGCCTCGCAATCTGATATATATGTTACTCATGTCACCAAAAATGGATTGATTGTAGGACAGAGCTTCAGCTTTCATTGAGCAGCAAATTAGAAATGTCAAGTATGTCATTCTGCATTCCCAAAGCTTCAAAGCAGTTCATTGTATAATTGAAGTTTTTATCCATTGATCATGTTGATTTTCAACTATAGAATTATTTAGCTGCAGAACTGTAGCTCTCTTTTTGAAAAAATTCAGACAGATAAACCAGAGAGCTACAGATCCAAGAATTGTGAAAACCTTGAAGTTCGATTTACTCCTATTCAGAATGCATTTTTTTTAAAAATGACATTCCAAAACCATAAAGGGCTGTTTGGAACCTGAAAGGTAAATAAAGTATCAGGAATAGGAGTAAAATATATGATTGATAAACAGATACCTTGTTTAAAGTGGGGGAACGCATAGAATACAAGAAATAATGCCCCAAGCGAATGACAAAAAAGTATCGCCATAAATCGAAGGGTTTTACACCTTTTTTTTCTCGAGTTTTCTCAACCAGAGAGCTACAGTTTTGCAGCTATTAAGAATTATTGAGGACCCTCATACTAATTTCAGGATACTTTTGTGTAGTTAGACTGTTACACTGCATGCATGATACTAATCCCCCTCCCCCCATACCAAAATATTCTGTCAGTATGCATTTACAGTGAAACTTGTGTGATCTGGATGTTGTGTATTCTGAAATCTTACCTAAGTTAAAGTTAACTATATCTTTTCAGTAAATTCAGTTGTTAAAAATGTTTGCTACTCAGTAATCTGGAATGTTGTCTAATCCTGTCAATTTCTTTGAAACCAGTGGTGTCTGGATTAGACAAGTTTTACTGTATCACCATGCTAGTACTGTTTAAGAATTCTTTTCCTATTTATATAATATGTAATTTTATTTAATACTTATTCACAAGATCATTAAAACATATATTCCTTTGTTACTCATAGAAATGATGCAGGAGTCAAAATTAACTAACTTCCAACAGAGACATCTGGAGAAGTCTCTAAGAAGTAAGTAAATCCTTATATTTACTCTGAAGTTTATTTCTTCAGTTATGAAATTCTAATATTTAATACAGTTAAACCTCATTATCTCAAATTCAGTGGGACCAAGAGTAAACTTAGAGATATTTGAGGATTTGAGATAACAAGGGTAAAGAACATAAAAAAGAAGTTGTTGGAACTGCTAACTCACTTCAATATGCATTGTACATAACCCTGGTATTCAAGATCAGGTATATATTATAATTGAAGTTCAATTATATTTCTAATTCTGTTAAGTCTTCTTCTTTTAGTGAAATTACCAATGACCAAAAATAGTCCTTCAGAAAAAGCAGACGCACATGCATGTATAAAACCAAACAAGACTTTTCTTATAAGAATATGATCTATAATGAAGTTCAACTATATTTTTGAATTTCTTTTTGTGAAATTGCCAAAGACCAAAAATGTACATTCATGTATGACCTTTTAGAAAATGCAGCCACACATGTAAACCAAACAAGACTTTGTCTGAGAGGAATATGATCTATAACTACTTAATGATTTTATGAATTTTTATGTTGCAAAGTATAGTATGAAAAAGTAAGATAACATGTTAGTTAATCATTAATTTGTTTCAAGGTGGTGGTTCACTGCCAACAGAATGTGCCCCAACAAGCAGCGCAAAGAAAAAGCCTGCACCAGCCCCAAAGAAGGAGTCAAAAGTATTAAGTGTCAGGTGAGGATATGAGCACATGTTAACAGATATAAATAGTTATAGTTCTATTTCATATTTTTCTACTAGACTACTTCTTGATTTCCTTGAAGGTAGGTCAAAGGTCAAGGTCAGTAACTTGGTATTTAGCTCACCTGAGCCATTGGCTCAAGTGAGCTTTTCTGATCAGAATTTTTTCATTGTCTGTCGTTTTCGTTGTCTTCATCATAAACTTTTTACAATTTCATCTTCTCTCGAACCATTGGGCCAATTTCAACCAAATTTGGCTCAAGGTATCCTTGCAAAAAGTGGATTTAAGTTTATGCAAATGAAGGGCCACACCCTCTTCCAAGGGAAGGTAATTAGGAAATAGTGAAAGATAGCTTAGGTCATATAAAAATCTTCTTCTTAAGAACCACTGAGCCAGGAAAGATGAAACTTATATGAAAACTTCTTGATAAAGTGAAGATTCAATTTTTAAAAAAAAAATCATGATCCCTGGGGGAAGGGTGGGGCTACTGTAGGGAATCAAAGTTTTACATGGGAATATATATGAAAATCTTTAAAAATCTTATCAAGAACAACAAAGCCATAGTCAGTCATTGATATGGAAGCATCTTCAGGTAGTGTATATTAAAGTTTGTTCAAATCATGATCCTTGGGGGTAGGGAGGGGTCACAACTGGTGATCAACATTTTACATAGGAATACATAGGAAATATCTTTAAAATCTTTTTCACAGGAAGAGCAAAGCCATGATTATTCATATTTATATGGATGCATCCTAAGGTAGTGTAATTATTCAAGTTTGTTCAAATGAAGACTCCTTGGGTTAGATAGGGGTCACAATGGCCAATCAAAGGAATGCATAAGAAAAATATTCAAAAATCTTCTTTTCAAGAACAGCAAAGCTAGATTAGTCATATTTATATGAAAGCCTCCTAAAGTAGTGTAGATTCAAGTTTGTTCAATAATCATTACCCCCAAGTGTAGGGTGGAACCACAATGGGTGATCAATTTTTTACGTAAGATGTACATGTATAGGAAAATTCTTGAAAAATCTTCTCAAGAACAGATAAAAGCCATGATTAGTCATATCTATATGGAATCGTCCTCAGGTAATATACATTAAAGTTTGCTCAAAACATGACCCCCAGGGGTAGGATGGGGCCACAATATGTGATCTACCTAGCTTTTATATTACATTAGAATAAATAGGGAAAAGAATTTGTTGATGAAGAACAGATTATAGCCATAATTACCATGATGAGCATTGTGGCCCATTGACCTCTTGTTTTAGAAAAGTCTTACAATGAGCAAAATATATAAAATATAAAGGAATCTAACAGTTCATCTGTTCATAAGATAACATTGTGATACATTGGCAGACAGAGTACACTTAAAATGATCACTAAATGTTGCCCTCTTTTACAAGTGACACAAAACTTCAAGACACATGTTTTTTTTTATTATTTGAGGAAGATCAAACATACTAGTATACTGGAAAGCTTGTCTTCATGTTAATTTTGATTTTATAAACTCTATCCTTTCTAACATTTATAAGTTTGTTTTACATTCTACTTACATCTGGTTTATTAATTTTTTTTTATTTGCATGATAGAAACTACAAACCTGTATTAAGAACAAAAGAGCAAATGGAGGAAATGGGAGCCTTTGAGAAACCAGATTACTCACCACTACCAAATACCAGTAATTACATTGTTCTAAGATTACTTGTCACTACCAAATACCAGTAATTACATTGTTCTAAGATTACTTGTCACTACCAAATACCAGTAATTACATTGTTCTAAGATTACTTGTCACTACCAAATACTAGTAATTACATTGTTCTAAGATTACTGTCCACTACCAAATACCAGTAATGACATTGTTCTAAGATCACTGTCCACTACCAAATACCAGTAATTACATTGATTTAAGATCACTGTCCATTACCAAATACCAGTAATAACAATATTCTATAAAGATTAACCTTCACTACCAAATACCAGTAATTAACATGTTCCTAAGATTACTCTGACCAATCTGAGATTGTTACCTTTATCCCATTCAAAGCAAGCAAATCACAGATTATCTGTATAAATAAATTCTTGGAGTGCAATTTTATTGTACACACATGTAACAGTATGCATGTAAAAAATGATTTTAATTCCAAGTAAAGAAAGCATGTCATGAACTTCCTCCTTTGTAAATATAATGTTGTTCATTATGATATTGTGTTCTCTTTTCCTGTTTTATTTAGGAGGTCAGGATAAAGACCGACAGAAAGAAAGGTTGGCAAACATCATGGCATTTGGAGAAGATATTGACCCAAAGAAGAAAAAAGCGATGAACCGACCTCCACCTCCAGATGATGATGAACCAGCAATTGACAGATTTGATGAATGTAATCATTTCTTTGTTATTACAGATCTCATGATAGTTAGAAATTCAATTAATGCTTCATCTTCGCCATCATGTATATGAATTATCTTTTCAAATAAGCATAAGTGAAACAGTACTTGAAAAGTATTAAATATATGTATATATTAGGGATGTCAATTTCAATCAGATGGCCCCCTAGTCAAATAATCTAGGGCTTTGGTCGAACGATAGTTGAGCACTCATTGATTTTCTCACGTCAGCTAGAATTAACTTGAACTCAGTTTCAGTTAAATAGCACAATTTTAACGAGTAACCAAGAAAAAATATTTAGTTTATGACCCTATGATCAAGCGATAGTCAAGTACTCAAATACTTATATATATACTTTTCCAGTCATCAATATCAAATTATGCGCATAAGCTATAATTTTCAGTGCAATGATTCATTTTAAATATTTGTTTTATATCTCTATTAGTACAACTGGAAATCGATGAAAGAAGAGCATTTTTGAAGGACATGGAAAAACATGGACAGGGAGCCAAGTATCGTCCTCTTATTAATACAGAAATTTCTCAGGTGAAAAAAAAGTTTTAATCTTAAAATTAAATTAATCAGATTATTAAAATATAATACATGTACCTGTATTGTCAATATAAAATCAAAATTTATCTTGAAAATACACATATCACGTGGTATATTACAGAAATCCACATGCATAAATTCACTTATTCAGGTTCGGAAATATATATTTCTCGTTATATCTCTGGTTTAAAGCAATTTACCAGGATTGATAAGTAACACATATTTTTTTGTATTTCATTGAGATTTGTATTTACTTCTAGGATATTGTAATTTTTTTATGTTAACTTTGTAGAAAATTCGTGAAATGGAGTTAATTGACAAAAAGAGGACTGCGGAGCTAGAGAGATTGATTGAAGAGGAGAAGAAAGGAAAGCAGACTTCATCATGACCACAGTCTTCCAGTCTCCAACAGGTGCTGTTATAAAACAGAGCAGTGTGTATAGATGTACAGTTCAATATGGTCGTACACAGCTCAGGAGTGAAACATTGCTCTCTCCAGAAAAAAAAACTCCATGTAATTTGATCATATGATAATCCTCAACATCTTCCACAATGTAGAATGCAGTTCTTCAGTAAATAAATTCAAACTGCTTTAATATATAAATCTGTGGTGTCTCTAGCAACAGCAGAACACATTGGACTGTTTCTAATGTATACCGGTACATATTAAAGCGGTACGTATTAAAGCTTAACATTGTGGACTAATTTGTAACAATTGTAACAGTATACAAACTAAGGAGTGACAGACTGCAAAGACAATATTCCTTTATGTTTATATTTTTATTGTTATTTATTATATATGGCAAACAGAACTAGTGTATTATGCTAGTTCATCACTAGTTTAGAGTAAATTTTCTCATACTTGCACGTTATATAGCAATACATATATAGACTTCACAGAAAAGCATATTTTTAAGGAGCCATATTTCTTAACTTGTGTTTGTTGTGTACCATACTTGCAAGGGTAAAAATATTAATGAATTCTCCCTCCATGCATAAGCAGCACATTTGTGATCTTGATGAATACCAGGTAAATTGTAACTTAAATGACCAATTAATGTATAATAATAAAATATTAATCAGAGCTGTAATCAAGCAATAATGCATGTTATTGCATGCCACAATACTGACCATCATTCTTGTTATTTCGTCTGAAAAGAAACATCACCCCTTCACTTACTCAATGTGCTTCAGAAGAATGATCTAATGTAAATATCCAGACCTATAGTTACATAATTCTGTAAAGAAAATCTGTAAAACATTTTTCGAGTCCGGGTGCTGCTTTTCTCCCAACATTTTAAGTAGAAATTAAAGTAGTAAATTTCATCATTTTGTTATCAAAATCTAGGATACAATTATATATTTCTTACCTGTAACCACAGTTGTACATTTGCAGGGAGACATTACATAAAAACATAGATTTTCAGAATACATTTATTTCTTGTCCCTTTTAAAACTTTACAGAGGAGGAATATGTAGCTGCACTGATTATCAAAAAGAAAATTTTCTTATAATTTATTGGGTGGAGATGTGCATGTTTTTGATGGTTGCTTATTTTAGTGTAACTGCGTATGTAAACTGATACATGTACAAGTAGTCAGACATCTGATATCCATATTGCAAGTGAAATTTTGCATTTTATTAATTTTAGGTTGTGGGTTATTGTGAAATTGATTGAAACAATTATTTTCAATTAAAATCATTTCACTCTAATTATATATATCATTTTGACCATCATTTAATTAATTGCTATTAGCTGTCACCTTTACAGCATGTGATAACTACTCCAGTATAACCGGATTGACTTGTGTACCTAGAATTTTTAGATCTAAATATATCATATGATTGTACATGTATATAAAATATACATTTACAAAGCTGTTTTCAAATGCTTGACATACATTGCATCAGTTTCTCATTCATTCATCTGCTATTGTCAAGAAGTACTGAATCCACTTAAATTACATGAAGTGCATGTTTTTCTGTCTCTTTTATGCATCAAGTTATGTAATTTTTGCCAGTAAATTTTTTCTTTTATGTGTGTGTCTTTCACCTTCTATACTTTAATTCTTTATTAAACAACTTTAAGCCATACGGCCCATCAGTTACACAAAATTAACATAATTATACACGCATAGCGAGAGTCTACGGGGGGTAGAACCCCTAGTGTCCATCTGTCCGACTCCTCAACACCAACAATTACAGTAAGCATTAGATTCTCCATTATACATGAAAAATATCTATACATAATATACATATAAATTAAATTATTCATAATTTCTTAACATCAATGCATGAAAAATAAATTTCCCTAATCCAACTAAAACACCAACATCATGAGAGCTGAGTAACTGAGTAAGCTTGTACATATTTGGAGATCTGAAATAATATGGTTTGATATATCTTCTTCTTAAAGAATCATAAACAGGACATTCAAGCAAAAAATGATATTCATCTTCGATACGGTGATCATTACAAAATTGACATATTCTATTACTTCTTTCTATTTTCTGATATCTTCCTGTTTCTATACTTAAGCTATGGGAAGAAAGTCTTATTCTAGTAATATACCTCTTTAACTTAGAATGAATAGGTTTTGTCAAATATGCATGGATTTTAGAAAAATTATCACACACAATGTGCTTATACAAGAAACACTTTGTTGAATTTTCAAAAAAGGCATTACAATCTTGAAGGTAGATATCCAACAGTCTTTCCTTATATAAAGATATAAACTGTATTGGATTAATAAAATCTTGATTGATCCAAAAATTCCCAAGTCCCATTCTAAACAACTCATCTTTAACATCCCTTGCCCAGTTAAGTTTGGAGTGTAATTTATTTTCAGCATTATACAATAAATATTCATAAGAAGATTTCAATATACAGTTATTTGTACTAAGTAATTTACACCAGTATTTCATAATTCTTATTTTCCTGGTTATGATTAATGGATAACGGCCTAATTCACGATAAACCATATAACTACAAGTAGATCTTTTAACTCCTAGTAGGTTTTTACAAAACATCAGATGAATGCGCTCTATTTCAGGTGATTTGTGGAAGCCCCAAATTTCACACCCATAATTTAAAACACTTAATATATATGTATCAAACAATTGACAATGCGTTTCTGCATTAAATTCAAACATTTGGATATTTCGATTTAGTCCAAAAAGTGCTTTTCGCCCCTGATCTGCCAGCTTTTTTTGTGTAGAACTAAATTTGCCATTATAAAACAGTGTAAGTCCTAAATAATTGAAAGAATCGACACACTCAAAGATTTCCCCATTATATGTCCATGAAGAATTTACTGTTCCACTGTTTCGGAATACCATTATCTTTGTTTTTGATGCTTTTACGGAAAGGTCCCATGTAGAAACATAACGATACAAGGAATCCAGCATTGTTTGCAACTCCTCGGGCGAATTTGCAAATATAACCGTATCATCTGCAAACATTAAAATGAATAAATTAAGTTCTCGCAGTTCCACTGATGGCAAATTTTCACTGATGAAATGGTTTTCCAGGTCATTCACATACATGTTGAATAGGATTGGTGATAACACTTCTCCTTGCATTAAACCACTTTTAACACTAAACATATCAGATACCTGGCCAACATGTTTTACACAGGCTCGTACGTCCGAATACAATGATTGAATAATCCGAATGAGTTTTCCCGTAACCCCTAATTTAATGAGCTTGTACCACAACTTCTCCCGATTAATTGTGTCGAACGCTTTTTATGCCCCGCCATGAATATGGCCGGGGCATATAGTGTTTGTCATGTCCGTCTTCCGTCCTTCCGTCCTTCTGTCCTTCCGTCTGTCCTTCCGTCACACTTTGCGTTTAGCTCTGTTCAAAGCTCAGTTTCAAAGAAACTATCCAAGATATTTTTATCAAACTTCATATGCTGATAGATATTGATGAGGGCTATGCAACTGCATCAACATTTTTTGACCTTGACCTTTCCTTTGACCTTGACCTCACTTTTCTTAAATTAGTGTTTAGCTCAGTTTTAAAGATACCATTCAAGATAGTGTAATCAAACTTCATATGTTGATACATACTGATGTAAGCTATTCAATTGCATCAACATTTTTTTGACCTTGACCTTTATTTTGACCTTGACCTCACTTTTCTTAAATTAATGTTTAGCTCTGTTTTAATGAAACCATTCAAGATATTTTTAACAAACTTCATATGCTGATACATACTGATGAGAGCTATTCAACTGCATCAACATTTTTTGACCTTGACCTTTCCCTTGACCTTGACCTCACTTTTCTTAAATTAGTGTCAAACTTCATATGCTGATACATACTGATGAGAGCTATTCAACTGCATCAATATTTTTTGACCTTGACCTTTCCTTTGACCTTGACCTCACTTTTCTTAAATTAGTGTTTAGCTAAGTTTTAAAGAAACCATTCATAATATTTTCATCAAACTTCATATGCTAATACATACTGATGTAACCTTTTCAACTGCATCAACATTTTTTGACCTTGACCTTTCCTTTGACCTTGACCTCACTTTTCTTAAATTAGTGTCAAACTTCATATGCTGATACATACTGATGAGAGCTATTCAACTGCATCAATATTTTTTGACCTTGACCTTTCCTTTGACCTTGACCTCACTTTTCTTAAATTAGTGTTTAGCTAAGTTTTAAAGAAACCATTCATAATATTTTCATCAAACTTCATATGCTAATACATACTGATGTAACCTTTTCAACTACATCAACATTTTTTGATCTTGACCTTTCCTTTGATCTTGACCTCACTTTTCTTAAATTAGTTTCTGAATCAAACGTCATATGCTGATACATACTGATGTAAGCTATTCAACTGCAGCAATATTTTTTGACCTTGACCTTTCCTTTGACCTTGACCTCACTTTTCTCAATTTGTGTTAAAATGTTGCATTACTAATATACCCTTGGCGGGGCATTCATGTCCTATGGACATATTTCTAGTTTGTAATCTATGAAGCAGCAGTAAAGACGTTGTTTTTTATTTAACTTTTGTGAGATCAAACTTTGAAGGGAAAATATGGCATCTACAGTAGAGCGTCCAGCTTGAAAACCGAATTGTGCATCTGTAATAACTGACTCCTCAGAATTCCAGGCAGCGATCCTTTCATTTAAAATGGACGTAAACAATTTTCCAAGGCTGCTAGTAATACTTATGCCTCTGTAATTACCTGGATCAGATGTATTGCCCTTTTTATAGATAGGTACTATAATCGATTGTGACCACAGTTTTGGGAATGTGCCCGAACCAAAGACTTTATTAAAGAGGGTAACGATTCCTGGTATTAAGATCTCTCTAAATGTCAAGATATATTCTTTGATCAATAAATCACTTCCACAACTTTTATTACACTTCAACTTTTTTGTACAATCTTCCACTTCTTTCTCTGTTATAATAGAATCCAATGAATCAAAAATAGGCTCATAGTTTTCAAAATAGGTTCCAACAGAAATATAACTTGCAGGTGTGTCATTGGCTAAGGAGCGAAAGTGATCAAAGAAATCAGAAAGTGAAATTCTAGATTCAAAATGCGTCCGTTTACGGAAATGTTTGTAAAACTGACCTGGGTTATTCTTCTTTAAAGCCTGGACCATATCTCCCTGTGAAGTTCGATACTGTCGCTTCAACTTTTTTTCAAAAGTTTTATATTCACGTTTTAATCTAATAAGCTTATTATAATTAGCACTAGAATGACGAGAATTATAATGACCAAGTGCATCTATATATTTGTTCTACTTGAACAATAAATTTTGTTTTTATTAAATATGTTTATGTCCTAAGTTAATCTAATACATGTACATGTAGTTCTGATTTATTAAATCTACCAAAATTATTTGATCCACAAAGAAATCTATTTATATGAGACATTTCTTAAGCCTTGAGAAACAAAGAATAATATACATTTATTGACTGGGTTCGAGGGCAACATGCATTTTGTTGGACCCAAGAACCAAACTGTTTGCCTGAGGCCGTTTGGTTCGAGGGGTCGACAAAACGCATTTTGCCCGAGAACACAGTCAATAAATGTTTTGTCGTACCTTTTATTTATTTATTTAATTTTTTTTTGACGTACATGTATGTCGAACACCAACGAATGCAAATGAGATTTAGCTGACCCCACCCATTGTGTGACGTAAGAGGTCCAACATCTCATCGACAGGTCCAATATCTCACTCCGCGGTCAAACTTTGATTTTTTTATGCCGCTCAGTAAAACATTGGAAATGTTAGACTTTTTTAGTATTGATTTATATAGGAACAAATTTTTAAAGGTATAACAATGAAAGTTTTCACCCCTTGAAAACCATTGTTAACCTCGGCTGCACCTTGGTTGACAATGGTTTTCTTGGGGTGAAAATTTTCAATGTTACACTCAACTATACATGCAATATTTATATAATGTTACACTCAACTACATGCAATATTTATTATATTATACTGAATGTTGTATACAAATACATATAACAGTGAGCCTTGTGTGCATAAATTCTGCGCAGTCACTATTTTTTGGAATATCACGCGTCATCAGGCAATGTTGACTGTTGCGACGCTGGAGGGCGTTATTACAGGCTTCATCATTCAGCAGGTAATTGCCTGACGCCACGTGCGTCAGGCAGTATAAGGATTAATATTTCAGGGATCCGAAACTAAGCGATCATTCTTAATGAACTAGATTTTGTGCAAGCTGATTTACATCGGGATTTGTTACCTGCATTTAAACAAATACAGTGTGCAGAAGAAAAAATCACATAACTGATGCAAAATGATGATGTGTTTAATTCCTTCAATTTTTTTGCATGCACATGTTTATTCTTTGCGATTCTTGGTACAGACATGTCCGTGTAACATTTTTTCTGCGTTTCTAAACTACTGGATCAGTCCATTTGGCTTCTATGAAAGGGGTGACACAATCATTTCGCACCAAATGTCACATGTAAAATATCTTCGCGCCTTTTTCTTGGGTTGTTCTATTGAATGGGTGTGATAACTTCTATGG